GCCGAATGGTGTTTAACTCAATTTAAAGGTAGATGCCAAATGTGTAATACACCATTTAAATTTGAAACTAAACAAGGTAAATTGTGTAGTAACTTTACTTGTCAGCTTTTTGATAATTCAATTGCTCACCATATAGATAATTCAACTTCGTTTTGTGTATATTGTAATGTATCAGCGCATTAAAGGGCTTAAAGAAAAGATAAGTTAAGATAAGTAGAGATATGAGCAATAGATTTCAGAATGGCAAAATATATAAGATAGTCAGTGCTGATTATTCCAAATGTTATATCGGCTCTACATGTGAAGAATTGAGCCAGAGAATGGCAAGACATAGGCGACACTACCGCCTGTATCAGAATGGACGGAACATAAGCAAAGTTAGAACAATAGACTTGTTTGACGAGTTTGGCATTGACAGCTGTAAAATTGAATGGATTGAGGACTACCCATGTAATAGTAGAAAAGAATTACAAGCAAGAGAGGGACACCATATCCAAAGCAATAACTGTGTAAATAAAATCATAGTGGGTAGAACAGAACAAGAATATAGGGAGCAGAACAGAGACAAGATTAACGAGAAACAAAGAATATACAGAGAGCAAAATAGAGAAACAATTAACGAAAAGAATAAGGCATACTATGAAAAAAACAAGGACAAACTAATGGAAAAACAAAAGGCATATGCCGAAAAATATAAAGACAAAATAAGTGAGCGACAAAAAGCATACAGAGATAAAAACAAAGAGCATTTAAGAGAGCAAAAGGAAGCATATGCAGAACAAAACAAAGAGCATATCAAACAGCAACATTCAAAACCCTTTCACTGTGGTTGTGGTTCTGTAATCCGAACTGCCGAACAATCCAGACATTGTAAATCACAAAAACACCAAGACTGGTTAAACCAGCAACAAGAACAACAAGAACCATTAGAAGAATTAGATTAATAATTTCTTGTGTATTTATATGGCATCTAAACAAGAACTTATAGCAAATGTATATTACGATAAAGCAGGTTATGGGTCTAAAAGCAGAACATAACCAGAGGCAAGAGAAAAAGATAAATCAATTACTAAATCAGATGTAGATGATTGGTTTAATAAAAATATAGAAATCAAAACAAAACCAAGAGGGCAGAATTCATTTGTGCCAAACGAAGCATTTTATGAGTTTCAGTTTGATTTGTTCTTCATAAATGACATTCCCAACCAGAAAATGAAGGTTGGTGCTTTAATGATAGATATTTTCAGTAAGGCAATGACTGTAATACCTATTCAAAGCAAAAGTGAAGGTGATGTAGCAATGGCACTGCTTGAAGGATTTATAAAACTGGGCGGATTTTGTAAATTATTATTTACAGATGATGAAAGCGCATTAAAAACAAAATCTATACAAGATTATTTGAAAGAGAAAGGCATAGAACACTACACAACAAGAAACCACGCAGCGTTTAGCGAAGTAGCAATTAAAACATTCAAGAATATGTTGTATAAAAGAGTTGAAGCAGATGAAAACAAAGGAAAAAAGGATATTGATTGGCGCGACTACATATTTGAAGTATTATTGACTTGTAATAATAAATTGAAGCACACAAGCACCGGATTTACACCAGCACAAGCAAAACTCAAAAATAATGAACTTGACGTAAAGTTAAACATATCAATGAAAGCAAAATACTCCCGCACCTATCCTGATTTAGGTGTTGGAGATAAAGTTAAAATAGGACGGGAAAAAGGAATAACAGAAAAGCAACGGACAAGCCACTGGTTAAAATCCATCCACGTGGTGGAGAAGATAGAAACTAAATTAGGGCAAACATATTTTTCTGTTAGTGATTGTCCACAATTATTATTGAGACATGAAATGTTAAAATTATAGTATATGCTAGTTGAAAAGAAGCTTTGGAATGTTTCGTTGGTTGGTTGCTTTGGAATGTTCTGTGTTCTGTTCCTTGTTTGGTTTGTTGGTTATGTTTCTTTGTTGTTGGGGGTTTTTGGATAAGGGTGGCTTACAACCTATCTGAGTAAGGAAAAAATGGTTTAAAGGTTTGGTGCCTTACTATGGTAGGAGATGACAGAAGAGATGAAAACCTGTAAGCAATGTAATAATACATACTCATCTGAATTATTCAGTAAAAGGGTGCGGATTTGTAATCACTGCCGTGAGCAAAATAATATCAAACAGGCAGAAACCAAAAAACAATGGAGATTGAATCATCCTGAAAGGATGAAAGCGTATAGGAAAAATATGAAGCAGAAAATCCTGATGCAATCAAGGAAAAGAAAAAGAAATGGAGAGAAAGTGAAAAAGGACAAGCAACAATTCAAGAATATAGGCAAAAGGTTTATCACTGCGAATTGTGCGATTATGACATTAAAAGAGAGAAGAAGTCTCAACACGAGAAATCTCAAAATCATCAATAATTTTTACAGAAAAGTTTGAATGGTGAAAAACTGGAACGACCGGATAGAAAAGAAATTGAAAATGGCGTGCTGTGGTTTAGATGTTTAAAATGCAAGAAGAAAGAAATTTATTATTATTGGTACGACCATGTTTCCAGTGAAAAACATATCAAGAACTGTTGCGAGGTTGATTGAAATAGTTTAAGTTATTCTGTAAAATGAATAACTTAAAACATTTTATGGACATTTGTATGGATTTTGGGGTGTGGATTGATAAATTGAACCATTTTATTAGCTTTTGTATGGATTTTGGGGTGTGGATTGATAATATGCTGGGGGGCGGGGCTAGGCTAGTAAGAGATGTGGTGGGTTGCTAGCTCATCTCTTGCTATACCAAGAGCGCGGGCTGTAATGATGAGACACACTGACAATTGGAATGCAGAGCCGGCATGGCCCTGAAAATCCCTCGGTGGAAGATGTGCGTGTCAGCTGATTGCAGCTGTTGAATGGGGTAAGCAGATGAAGCAGTTGCGGAGGTCGAAACGCGATCCGTGTGTGAATGCAGCATGCGTGTGTGTGTGTGTGACACTGTGTGTGTGCGAGGGTTTTTAAGTGTATGCGTGTAAGCGTAACTACAAGCACGCTTTGGGCAACTGGTATGTCACAAAGCTTGACAAGTTGGCAGGCATATGAGGGGAGGGTGCACCAGGATAACAAAAGAACAGCTGGCAACAACTGGCACGTTCGATCCATCGCATGGTCGACAGAGGCTGATGATGTTTCGCTGCGGATGGCATACCAACAGCGCGGGCTGTAATGAGAAGACACACTGACAATTGGAATGCACAGCCGGCATGGTCCTGAAGATCCCTCAGTGGAAGATGTGCGTGTCAGCTGATTGCAGCTGTTCAATGGGCTGAGCAGATGAAGCAGCTGAGGACGAAAGGCAGTCTGTTTGTTTGTGAATGCAGCAGGTGTGTCTGTGTGTGTGTGTTCGTTTGTAAGTGTATGCGTGTAAGTGTAACTATGAGCATGCTTTGGGCAACTGGTACGTGACAAAGCTAGACAAGTTCGCAGGCATACAGCGGAGGATGCACAAAGATAGCAAAAGAACAACTGGCACATTCAATTGGTCGACAGAGGCTGATGTTTTCCTTTTTGTGTGCGTGTGTGCGTGCGTGTGCGTGTGTGTGTGTGTGTCTCTGTGTGTGTGTGTGTCTGTGTGTGTGTGTCTGTGTGTGTGTGTGTTTTTGTGTGTGTCTGTGTGTGTGTGTCTGTGTTTGTGTCTGTGTCTGTGTTTGTGTCTGTGTCTGTGTCTGTGTCTGTGTGTGTTTTGAGGCTGCACAGGCCATACCAACAGCGCGGGCTGTAATGATGAGACACACTGACGATTGGAATGCAGAGCCGGCATGGCCCTGAAGATCCCTCAGTGGAAGATGTGCGTATCAGCTGATTGCAGCTGTTAGATTGGCTGAGCAGATGAAGCAGTTGCGAAGGTCGAAACACGATCCGTGTGTGTTTGCAGCATGTGTGTGTGTGACACTGTGTGTGTGTGCACGCGTTTGTATGTGTATGCGTGCAAGCGTAACTATAAGCATGCTTTGGGCAACTGGTATGTCACAAAGCTTGACAAGTTGGCAGGCATCTGCGGGGAGGGTGCGCCAGGATAGCAAAAGAACAACTGGCAACAACTGGCACATTCGCTCCATCGAATCATCGTATGGTCGATGGAGGCTGATGGTGTTTTTCTGTGCATGGCATACCAACAGCGCGGGCTGTGATGATGAGACACACTGACAATTGGAATGCAGAGCCGGCATGGCCCTGAAGATCTCTCAGTGGAAGATGTGCGTGTCAGCTGATTGCAGCTGTTGAATGGGCTGAGCAAATGAAGCAGCTGCGGAGGACAAAAAACGATCTCTGTGTGTGAATGCAGCATTCGCGTGCGTGCGTGCGTGCGTGCGTGTCTGTCTGTCTGTCTGTCTGTCTGTCTGTCCCTCTCTGTCTCTCTCTGTCTCTCTCTGTCTCTCTCTGTCTCTCTCTGTCTCTCTCTCTGTCTCTCTCTCTGTCTCTCTCTCTGTCTCTGTCTCTCTCCCTCTGTCTCTCTCCCTCTGTCTCTCTCTCTCTCTGTCTCTCTCTCTCTCTCTCTCTGTCTCTCTCTCTCTCTCTCTCTCTCTCTCTCTCTCTCTCTCTCTCTCTCTCTCTCTCTCTCTCTCTCTCTCTCTCTCTCTCTCTCTCTCTCTCTCTCTGTCTCTCTCTCTCTCTGTCTCTCTCTCTGTCTCCCTCTCTCTGTCTTTGTCTCTCTCTCTCTCTCTCTCTGTCTCTCTCTCTCTCTCTCTCTCTCTGTGTCTCTCTCTCTCTCTCTGTGTCTGTCTGTTTGTCTCTCTCTCTGTGTGTCTCTCTCTGTGTGTGTGTGTCTGTGTGTGTGTGTCTGTGTACGCGGGCCCCACGTACCTGCCGACAAGTTTCCTCTACTCCTTACGGCGAGCTGTTCACAGTGTGCGCGTCGTTTGCAAGTGCATGCGTGTGACTGCATGGCGCTGAACTACGAGCATGTTTTTGGAAACTCGCGAGCTTTTTTTTCTTATTGCACAAAGCTTGGCTCAAGCTTTAGAAGCTCCAGGTACTTTGTCGGGTGCACGCAAGTTTTTGGACCCACCTGCGGTTTGCTTTTTGGACCCATATTTACAAACCTCCGCCATGCTATTGTTTGGCCGGCCGACAAGCTCCAATACACAAAAGGCGCGGCCTGGCTTGCCCGGGGCATGCAAAAACCGCCTTGCCAGAGGTTCTGGTTTGTGCTCGCAGGTCCTATGGACATTATGTGAGATTCCATCCAGGCAAGCGAGAGACATACGGCGACCTTACCGCAATGCCTGTTTTTGGCAATGGCAGGCCCTCGTTCGAGTTGGTGTTGGCCAGCGCGCGCTTGGGTGCAGATTCCAACCTGCTGTGCGACAGCACTGGGGCCAAGCCGTATGGAGTAGTTGACACGGTTTCTTGGACAAACTGTGATTGAATGCATATGTTTCGCTTATCAGAAAATGGCTTCCAGTGGCACCTGGTGCCAACTTGCTTGCATGACACTGCGATGCCCCAGTGTTTTACAGGAGGAGTACCGGCGACTGAATCCAACACGCGGCGGCCCCAGTTGACAGCTGCAAGCAAGATGCTTTACAGGATCCTTCCCATCATTCGCCTCTTTGAGTGCCATTGCACGGTGGCAGGCTTGGTTCCTTGCTTGGTGGATGGCTCCCTGGCGGTGTGGGAGTCGCATTCCATTGTGCGCTACTTGGCCCAGTTGCTCGCCAAAGGAGCTAACTGGGAGGCAGACAGGGGTGGGCGAGTTGACGGCAGAAGAGCAGAGCCAAGAGTAAGAGACCTTGCAGTGAAGGTCGTGCTGCAAGCAAGCTGTGCCCCAGTTTGGAGAGACTGAACCTTCACCCAGGAAGTATGCGCCTGAACTACATTTGGGCACTGTGGAAGGCATGGCAAGGTGCTCGCCCTGGATGGACTGGCTCCTCTTCTCGCAATTTCATGAATGCTGCCACCTCAGCCAAGGTCACAGGCAGAGCCAGCACTCAGCAATGCCAAAATCTGCTTGAGAGGTTTCTTCAAAGCAGGCCCCAGTGTACACCCCAGGCAATCATCATTTTATCGACCAAACTGCGCGAACTCTTCCGGCCGACCGTGATGTGGGATTGATGGCGCGCAGCTACGAGGGCCGCCTGACTTTTGCTGTGGCAGCTTGGTTGGGTAGAGTTCAGGGGGCTGAGCTGCAGGCTACGTGGAGAAGTTGCAGAAGGTGGAAGAACAGATTGGTGAAACTGATGCCTACGTCACCGGCAGGGACTTCTCAATAGCAGAGACCTGGTTCAAATTGATTTGCACATTGGACACAAGCACGGCCTGACGCCATCCACAAAGGACATTGTGATCGGGGCGGAGTTGTGCCGATTTAGCTGTGGTCAAGAGCTTAGCGTTAGCCAGGGTCCCTGGTACCTGGTACCCAATGTTTGTGGGCTATCTATTTGCTGCGCGATGGGCCAACTTTTGGCATGAGAGGCTTCGGGACTACAGTCATTGCTTGGCTGATGTTTGCAACTCGAAGTCCACTCACGTTCAAGCGGCCTGAAGGTTGAATGCTGCCCCTGTGGCTTGCAGAGCGCATGTGCGGTGACATGGTTCAACGTTCCTTTAATAGGTGTGCTATGTTTGTCTCACCACTCGCCCAGCTGATGGTTTAGCACGCTCTGCTATGTTTTTTCCTGTGTATCACTTGGCCCAGAGTGCGGGCTCGCCTGCTTTGCAAGCTGAGGCATGACGCGTTGGGCACGGGAGCCGCGCGGCTTCCCAACCTTGGTTCAGCTACCAAACCTGGAGCGATACTTCAGGACTGCTTCACTGCTTTGGCAAACAAATCAAGCGGCGTATATGAACTACGCCAGACACTTGCTAGGAGACTGCAGGACAGGTAGCTTGGCTTGTTAACAATTGCCTCACTGGTTGCACCCAACGGTCTTGAGCTGAGGCCTGCATTTCACACGGGCTGCTTGCAGCATGAGCGTCAACATCAGCTGCTTGAGCTGCTTGGCGAACTTGGCTGCGGTCAAAGGTAGGTTCTTCATGGCTTGCTGGCTAGACCTATGGTCTGCATTCAGTTGTCACTGTTATGTGAGGACAGTGGGTGAAGTGTAGAAGGGCTGCATGAGAAGCAGCCAAAGACAAAGATGGTTTGACTTCGCCGCAATAAGGCCATTGGCAGAAGGCGAATACCAACTATTGCTGCCAAAAGACACTGCGGCATGAAAATACGCGTTTTGGCATGGCCGCAACGCATGTGATGCCATTTGCATGGATGAAAGGGAGGCTTTTGGTCAGGCGCCGTCCACACATGCTCAGCATTCGCTACCACATGTTGTGCTCAAGGAAGTGGACCAAGCCAATGCCCTCAGAAGCAGCATTGGAAAGCACAACTCATGACCCAACTTGCTTGCAACGCTAACGCTGATATACAGCCAATTCCCAGATAGTACAGGGAAAGCCTGCGCTCTTGTAAGTCATATGCCCGGCGTGCAGCATTTTGCCTAGCTCCAAGTCAACCGCCGCTTTGCTTGCATCAGTGGGCCTATGGTGCACGGTCCGCGCAAGCGGCGAAGGGCCGGCGCACCAATTGGATGTCTTGATGTTGCGATTCGACAAGTTGCTTTGTGACTTGTGCAGACCTTAGGCAAAGCGGAAGATTGATCCGGGCAAGCCGTAGAAAATGATCTGTCGAATCTTTGCGGCCACAGCTGCCGCTGTAACGATTTGCGATGCCGTGGGAGTTGTTACCTGGTTGCAGCTTCAGTGCCCGAAGAATGTACGGCAGTTTTGTGGCGCGATTGTTTTATCATGCAGGTGCTTCTCACCTCCATTGGCCTCGCCCCGACAGCGACCTTGCTGCATGGATGGCTGGAACTTTGCACGCAACCACTGGAAGATCAAAGGGCCTGCATTGGGCCCAGTAGGCAAATAGATACATGTGTAGCACAATGTTCAACGCTGGCTAGGCTGCCCGTCCCTTCAGCTTTGAATCTCAATTCTGTTCAAGGCCAAGCATCTGCAGTGAACGACATTCTGGCAGCATACGTGGGTCTCCCCTTGTTGCTGCGCAGTTTAGAGCAAGCATAGCAAATCGCTTCTAAAGATCAACTCCATGCTCCAGGGGCAACTGAGTTGGAGCTTCTTGGCCATAGTCTTGGGAATACCCGCCCACTCAACGCACCAGCGCCTGTTGATCCACAGCAAATGCTCTCCCCGAAATCGTTTTTTGCTTCATGAGGCCCATGCATTTTTCTGCAACATCGCAAATGTGTGTCTTATTCGCCTTTGAGGTTGCAAGAACTGAATATTGGTTTGATAATGTTTTTCTGCGAAATAAGGTGCCTTTTGATGAATGGCCAAGCCTGAGCCATGGTCAAGAGCGTTAGTTGGACCAACATCCTGCCTGATATCTCACATTTCGTTTGGCTTTCCTCTAATTCGGGTATGCTCAACCCTCTGCTGCACCCTTATCCCATTTTTACGAGGGTGAGTTGTGTGCACGGTGCCTACGCAACCAGGCAGCCCGAGCCGTGGAGTTCAAACAACGAGAGAGGCAAGCAAAGACCCAAGGTGCAAAGGCACAGCGCCCGCCGCCTGATGGAGGCTGTTCAATGCTTGATCTTGACCAAAGGGCTATTTTTACGGGGCGTCTTTCTTTTCCACCTCAACGGGGGACTTTCTCCTCGCGCTGCGGCCCGCGGCAAGCAAGCAAGCAAACAAGCAAACGCAAACCAACCCCAAACCAACCCTAAGCTAACCCTAAACCCACCCTGAACCACCCCAAACCCAGCCCTTACCAAAAAGAAACACAAACCAACCGCAAGCAAGCACGCAAACACACAACCCAACCTAAACCAACCCTAAACCGCCCCAAGCCGACCCTAAAGCAAGCCCAAGCCTAACCCCGATGTTGTTCATGCGTTGCCTTTGGCACTTGGCGGACTCGCCAAGATCTACAACCTGGTGGCCGACCAGACGCTCAACATGGCAGCCCGCCCGCAATGATCAGGGGCAGGCTCTCATCGAGACGCCAGTCGCCAGACCAGAAGAGACATATTGCGGCATATTGTGTTTCGCTTGCCAGGGCCCACATGAAGGTTCCCTGAGATTGCAATGTTCCCCCAAGATTTGGAACTTTCCTACATGGAAATTACTTCCTTTTGGCATGAGTTTATGCTTGCGAATTGGCCGGCCCTGTCCATCTAGAATCTCATTTCAGCACATATTGTGTAACACTTGCACAAAGTCCTGCCGGCTAAGCGCACAACACCCACCAAGGAGCAACTGCGAACGGGGGCGAACTGTGCCAGAAAACAAGCAACGCTCCTACAGAGGAGAAGCCCAGCGTGCTGGATTAACACATCACGAGCGCTGAAGCACGGCGTGCCGCGCAGAGATGTAACCCGCTTGTATCCCTAGACAGCCCTTGACAACTTGACAACAGGTGACAGGCACTGATTGTAAATGTGGGTTGTGGCAGTTCCGACAGTTGGTTCGACAGACGTCAAGTTCCCAGAGTTTCAGGCAATAGCTTGCCTTGGTTGAATCATCCAAAAGCATATCAGCAACTAGAGCTCTTAAGATTGCCAAGGTGGGCGGTGCGGCAGTTGCGGCCAGTGCCCTGTTCATGGCGCTGCTCTTCATCTTTGACTTCCACCGGATGCCGCTCTCACAACATGGTTTTTGTACCCACCGGCTTGTTGGACAGATCGTAGCGGCATAGGCAGCATAGGTCAAGCCAGGATAGATGGCCTGGAAACCCAGACATGTGCAGCCTACTCGAGGCGTGTCAGGTGATTTCTAAAAGCCCTAACACTCAACATTGATTCTGGCAGGCGCCATTTAGTTCAAATCCAAAGGGCAGTGCCTGCCCTTTTGACCCAGAGTTCTGGATTGATCAATTCCCAGGCCTGCTGTTCTCCAGCTGCTTTGCACGCTGATACTTGCAGGCCAGGTCCGCACTGGACACGGCTTGATTGCAATTTTGGGCCTTTCTTCCTTGGCGTGGGGTTCAGAGGGGCGCCGCAGCGCGAAGGGACAAGCCTTGGTGTTAAGCCTCATGGCTCAATGGGCAGCTCAATGATGCTGAATTTCCATCCGCCTGTGGCCGCGCTGCATTTGCATGATGTTGGCAGGCATGATGTTCGGCGCTGCCGTTCTGAAGGGCATTACCTACCCATGGGTGTTGGCCTCGGCTGTGGAGCATCGTCCGGCATGTCACAGGAAGCGACTCAGGCGCCAGGCCTCCTTTGCATCGCCTTTCCTATTTTCTTCGTGGGCTGGATGCGGGTTCTTTGCTTAGACATCTTAGATGTCGGCCCCAGCTGCCCGGCCACTGTCGAGAGATACGAGGGAGAGGCTGCCCCGTCCCTAGGCATTCCACTTCAAACCCGCAAAAGTGCCTCCTGTTGTGCTCCTTGGCAGCGCTGGGCCTGCTGGTGCTGGCTTTGTCCTGCATTGCCTTTGTTTTGTCATGCCCTGCTGAGGTTCCTACAGCCATCCGCATTGGCCTTCGGCCTGGCAGCAATTGTGGTCTTCGCTGCCCGGGCCTCAAACGCGTTGTGTTCACTCAGTGAGTTTTGAGTCCAACGTGACCAAGATTTGGCTGGTATTCCTGTTTGGCTTCAACAAAACAATGTCGGAGGAGACGAGGACTGCGGGTTGATGCGAATCGCGGATTGAGACAGCTTATCCTGCTGACTGATAGCAGTGGTTTGCAGGATCTGGCTGACAGATGAGAATGACAAAGTGCTTGCTTATCTTTGGCACAACGGCACGACACAGTTGAATTATACCATGCATTGCTCCGCCAGCAAAGACGTATCTGCTTTTAGCATCTTGGCAAACTCGTTCTTTGCCTTGTGGACATTTCGCCTTGATATGTGTCACTCTGTCAGCGATGCCGCGGGCTGAGGCGCCGATGAGAGGACAACCATTGAAGCAGCTTGCGATTCAGCCGCCAGTGTCCCTGTGATGCACTCATGAGCGGTCAATGCAGGCTGACACAGCCGCGAGTAGAGCGACATGTTGCAACGTGACGCAGTGGTAAGCAACTTTGAGTGTCTAAGGTCTGGCTTTTCCAGTGGGCCGGACCGATGGTTCTGGCGGTTTGCAACCCGGTCGCACTGCCAACTACTATTCGAGGCAACTTGAGCATGGTGCAATTCATTTCAGACTATTGGCAGAGCTTCCCGCCGAGGTCATGGCGTCACTGCTGCTTTCATGATTCTCTTCATGTGGGTGGCGCAGCGCATGGTGGTGAAGCCAGCAGTGGAAGCAGATTCTGAGGCTGAGGCTGGTGCTTCCATGGCGCTTGCTATGTAGACTTTCAAGGAGCTTTTTCTTCAGCAAAACCAGGAAGCTTCCCTCCTGATTCTCAAGCGGACGCTGAAGGGATGCACGCTGACCGTCGTGCCACTTTTCTGCATTTGGTGTGCAGCGGCTTTTAGAGGGGGCAGGCGTTCAGTAGGTCCCGTAGGTACCATGCCAGTCTTTAAGGATCTTCGCCTGCATCCGTTCAGGTTGATGCTCGCTTTGATGTACGCGTCTGCTTCATATGCCACTTGCCCGCACCGGCCGCTGGCGGCTGTGGCTTCCTGGAGTCGGGCCTTCTCTCAGGTCTCTGGCGCCTCTGGGCAGCTGGGCTCAGCGATTTTCTGCCTTGGTGCTGTGACCATCGCTGCTACCATCGGATGGACCGCAGCAACTTTGGGGCTTGCTGCTGGATTTCAAGAGCCATGCATTAAATCCTGAGATTCCTTGTGAATTGTTAATACTTTCTGCACAGTGCGCGGTAAGCATTTGAAATCAGCAAAACCTGTTTAGACCCATGAGGCTTCCAGCCCGAAGCGGAAACAATTTCTCCTTGGATGCTGCGTAGGATGTACACGGAGATCGACCACAGCCAGCTGAGAAAGCTTACCACCGAGGGGAAGGTAGCCCACGCCTGAGTGCGTGAGGGACTTTGCGACATATAATTTTCTCCGATGGTCCATTTGCTTGATTTGCGACTTGGGACCTACTGGTTGGTGCAAAAGCGCTCGTGTAGTGTTTGTTGTCCACTTTGCTGGCCGAAGACATTTGCGCTCCATGCAATAGTGGGCTTGCTTCAATTAGCTCTAGAATTACTCTTGCTAAGACTGCGAACATCGTGAAGATGATGAGATCGGACTGGGCTCGCGCTGCTTGGCCGAAATGCAGTACTACGCCGCCACATGTTCATGTTTAGGTGAGAAGGTGTTTGCTGTCTATTGTGCATGGCAGGTGGCATTGCAGTTTGGAACGTGTTGCTGCGCAGGTTCTACTCCAGGATAGCCTGGCGTGAAATGCCAAATGCTGATAACTTTTCATGACTGAAGCATCCTTGATCATTTTTTGTTGCAGGCTCGCAAAAGTCAGCAGACAGAAAAAGTTGACGCATGTAGGTCAACGATGACGTCAGCCATTTGTTTGAGAGGCTCATGGATCTTTTTCTAAGTTGGTTAAACTAGGTTAGCAACCCCAGACAGCCTCTGAGATTGGCGATTTGCTTTCCCACGCCAAAAGCACATCCATTCTCCTCAGGGCTGTTTACAATAAATTGTCAGTGTAATCCGCAAAAAATGCCTGAATTCTGACATCATTGATGCTGTTTGCAGGCTTTGTTTGGTTGAAAAGGGTGCAACAGGGCCTAAAAGCAAGCATAAGGATCGCATACTTGTTCGGAGTTTCAGGCCGTCGGTATCTTGGCCCCCCGCACCCGCTGTCATGTGTTTGTTCCAATGGCCTCGGTGGGGCGTTTGAGGCAATCGCTGTTGGCTGCTTGAACATATTCATTCCGCTCATGGCTGCTTTGCTGCATTTGATTGGCATGGTGTGCTCAAAATGTTCATTGTGTGCACATGCTGCCTTGGCCTGAACCTGAATGAAACCAGGGAGGGCCAGAGAGTTGCAACAGAGGCCTTGCTCGACATGACACGCCAATGCATGCGGCGAGTACGAGGCGGCTTGAGCTGGCTGTCGGCTGCAGGACACCACAGTTGGGCCCGGTAGGTAGAGCAGGTGAGGGAGAGGCTGCAAAAGACAAATTCACGCCGCCATCTCAGTTGTCTTGGATTCGGTTGGGGCAGTTGATGCATCGAATGGTCCATGTAGCCAGCATGGCCTCCCAAAGGGCGATAGCCCCTTGCGAGCTCATTCCGGAACAGCTGAGGCCCATGGGGCGCCAAGCAGCCAATGAATGCAGCATGTGGAATTGGTGCGGAATTCTTCTGAAGGCGGGCCAAGATGCGAGCAACACATGATTGGCACTTGCCGCACCGTTACGGCCGTTTCGTAGCTGAAACGCATGCGAAGGTGATCGTTCTTGGTGAAATTTTTGCTCGGGCCCTGTTGATAGAGAGGGTTCGTGCACAGGCAGCTGGCTGCATCAGTTTTAGAACCTGCGCAGGCTTGTCCAAGCTGAGGTTGCGCTTTTGATAGGCATGAAGGCGGGCGATTCCTCGGCTTCAGGATCATGATGTATGTAGAGGGGGGGATTTAGTTGCCACAGTGCCTGAACGTGCCCAGCTTGTTTCAACAGACAAGGCTTTGAGCATGATCTAGATTGATGCTCAGCAGTGCTAAATGTGTTCAGGTGACCTATGTCTTCTTCGCGTGGCTGAACACAACTCTTGCGGCTTCGGGCCAAGCTTGCATTGTGCGTGGTTTCCTTGGGGGGGGGGGGTGCAAACTTGACCATTGGCTGATCCCAGCCTTGTGATGCCTCAAAGCTTTTGCTGGCCATGGCTCATTTGAAGCGACTCCGGAAAGACTGGGCAATTTTTCAGGATCCGGGCTCGGCCAAGTTGGCCAGCGACGGGCTAACGGAAGAGCGTGCGAAATGGAAGATTTCACTGGGATGGCTTGATGACGCTGCAGATGCAGAAGGGGAGATTGACTATTCGACATGGCACGCTGAACTGCAAGCCTCAAAAGGTCCGTTTGCTGGTGCGCTGTTCCTGTACAAGCTCATTTTCCCAGCCACCTATCCATTCAAGCATCCCGAAGTCAGCTCTGAATTTGTTGGCTTTGAGGTGTGCTTTGAAGAAATCGAAGCTGGCTGGAGCTTGTACATGGTGCCACCCTTCGCAGGCGCAAAGCAAAGGCGAAAGTGCATCGTTGTGGAAAAACAACCCTATCACCTCTCCATCAAGTGGGAGGTCGGCGAGGGAGAAACATGCTCAGTAAGCAGAGACCGCTGGGAGGAGCTCGGGCCCGTGCTTGGCCGGAGCACAGACATGAACATTTATCACCCGCTGTTCAGTCGAAATGGAGGGTTTTGTGCCTGTGGCTTCAGAGACAGTTGGGCACCGTGCAAAACTCCTGCAATTTGTCTGGCCTACATCCGCGCCTCAGTTGAGGACGACGCTGCGGATGGAGAAAGGCCTGTTCCCCCAGGAAGCAAAACTATGATGTGCTTTTGCGAGGTCAACCCTGAAGCTGGGCGAGACTTCCAAAAGAGCCCGTCAGCTTGGTGGCAGCACGCGCGAGAACGCCTCTTCCAGAAGAGGGGACTTCTACCCCTTTGCATTAGTAACATTGGTCAGCAACAGGGCACCATCTCCGTACAGTGCCGCTCGTTGGCGGGACGTGTGATTGGAGAAATTCAGATGGATTCTGACGCATCCATGGAGCAGCTGGAATGCGAAGTGCAAAAGCGAATCCCTTTGAGCTTGGGAGCTGTTGGATGGAGGTTGGTCCTCCCAAGCGGCGGCTTGACCGCGGATCTGCGGGGTCAACTCCTCGGGAATTGTTTGCCCCAGTGAGCTGCCAGCGGCCAGAAGGCTCGCTGGCACGCCTCGGCCAAATTGGGTCGCTGAAAGCGCTCAAAGCATAAAGCGCGAGATGGTTGTGGCAAAAGCCCGGCAGAGAGAGAGCCTCCGGATGCCCTGCCACGGTCACTGGAGCTGAAGCCGTGTCCTGCCTAAGGCCGCAAATATCAACTTTTGGATACTGGTAGCGCCTTGGCTGCCAGATGCCTGGCAGGCATCCGGCTGAGACTTGCGCTACTCCAAGGTGCTAGTTCTCTGTATCGGCCTGGGCATGTTCCTATGTCCAATTGTGCCCGGCAGCGCCGTCTATCTGTTTGCATCTCGCCAGCCTTTGAAGGGGGTGGCCAAAGGGTGAATCATAGGCCATGCTATGGGCGGCCGGGAAACGCCCAGGCTGGAGTCGTTTTGGGAGCACAAAGCCAGCTTGACGGACGGCCTGGCTTTGCAGTGGGTGTGCTTGTGCCTTGGCCGGCATGGTGAGCCATCAGTTTTTTTCACCCACTTCAAAGAAAGCGCCCGAATTATTGAAGCCTCTGATAGTCGCTGCCTCAAGCTTCTACACACAGCCGTATGCACTTACATAGAAGGAAAGAAAGAAAGAAGGAAGGAAAGAAAGAAAGAAAGAAAGAAAGAAAGAAAGAAAGAGAGAAAGAGAGAAAGAGAGAAAGAGAGAAAGGTGCAGCTACATACATATGTATTATCTAGGAACAATTTACAGTCTCTATGCTGTCTATCTATATTTATGTGTATACACAGCTGGATTGAGCACCAGTTTGGCAAGTAAGGCCGCGATTGTGGCCAGCTCGTTTGCCAAGCTCACCGCGCGCAAGCCTCAAACAACTCGAGCAATTTCAGTTTGCCAGCCTAAGTCTCGTTTCCAGATGCTTTCTCAGGTGCGTTGGCCAGTACCTGATGGGCTACCTAGCAGGGCAATCAATTAAAGTGCAGCAGATGGTCGGCGTGGACAAGGCCGGGTCGTTTCCTTTGCACGAGTCACGAGCCCCAAGTCAGGTCCCCACCCGAGCGACGGAGAAGATCCTGAAGCAACCTGGGCTCTCCCTCGGAAAGGCTCGGTCGATTGCCTTTGAAATTTGGTGAAGCATATGTAGAATGGAATTTGTTTTTGGCCAGGTGTGCATCCTCGTGGCAGGCAACTTGTGCATTGTATCGCCAGCTCTGGTGTTTTGAAGCGTATAAGCGCTTTGTTGTCTTGGCGGCTCTGCCGCGCTGAGATGTACCAAGAGACGGCATGCAACTTGGCTGTTTGAGGGAAGTAGGAGGAATTCAGCTGTGCAGGCCCAGACTTCCCAACAAGTATGCTGTGCTTCTTGGCAAGCACAATGGATAGAAAGTGTCGAAACCAGAGCTGATTGTGCGGCATGATGTTTGTGCCACTGAGAGTGCCTTGTTCAGGAGGTTGGTGTTCCAGCTGAGGTGGGATTCTGCGGCTGAGCATTCCACAAATGCTGATTGGGACTATGCCGGTCATTTTGGCAACGGCCTCAAATGGCTCCTTTTGGTGACGTAGCAGGCGTGTGTCACGCTGAGGTCAGTATCATTCCCCAGGTCTTGGTGGGAGGTCTCATCACGCAGCCTGGCAGCTTCCATTGGCTGAGTCGTCCTTGGTATTGCTCGCAAGCCCACGGTTGCCACTCTCCTGGTGCTGGCTGATTTTGCATGGAACGTTTCTGCCATGACATCATTAGGTACCAAGGATCTTCAGCTGATGACGGTTCATCCAGCGCTTGAGGCTGAGGATGGAGCGGGCTCAACTCCAATACTCAAGACCTGAACCTGGTAGATGCTGTGTAGGTCAGCACAAGCGTAGTGAAGCACTCTAGCGTGGCTCAGGTCCTGTCAATGGTCTCTACTGCTGTCACGGGCTTCGCCGCCGCATCACAGGCAAGACAGAGAGAGGTAGGACTTCATCAACCCTTCAAGGCTATCATGGAAGCTCCCGGGGCCCTTAGACCCCTTAAAATCTTAGGTAGATTGCTGCTCTCTTCAAAGGGGAGCTATGTTGCTTTCATGTTGGTTTGGATTTCTGCTGATCAAGGCGGGCGCCACTTTGCTGTTCTCTTGGCGCATCATGAAGACGGTGGAGCAGGACTTTGAATGAGTTTGCCCGGGAGCACGTGCCTGAAACAGCAGAGCGAATTAGGCATGCCGTGCCGACGATTTGGCAGGATAGCGAGGAGCTGGCAAAGCCTCGACCCGAGCATGAGGCCGTGGCCGAGCTGACCAAACAGGACTGCCATGTCGGACTTGTCACGCTGAAGAGACGTTTTCGATGGGCCCTCAAAGCGGCGACCAGAATGAGAAACGCGCACCAGAGCACGGTTGTTAGACATTCCTGCCGCAGGAAGGCGCATCCTGGCCGCAGAAAAGAGGCCAGCATGTGAAGAGTGCATCTTTCACAATTCACCAGCCACAAGGCACGGCATCTCCAGTCAGACTCGACAGATTCAGCACAAATCACAAATTGGAGCATGTCTGGCAAGCTGAGGCATTCAGGTCCGCCTATGCAGACGTGACAAAATGGGATGTGGAAACCTGAGTTCGAAGGAAATGCGACACTTTGTGTGTTGTGGGGTGGGTTTTGCCTTTGGGTCGGAGCATTGCCCAGGCGATGACATCCATGCAAAAGGCAGTGCTGCTCACAGCTGTCATTGCTATGCTGCTTGCAGGCGCGGCCGTGAGTTAGTTAGCATTCCGCTGCTGTGATATGCGATTGCATGGGACCCAGCTTTGCACCCAGTGTGTTTGGCAGGATTTCTCATCGCTGCCGATTTTATGATCGTTGAGTCTTGGACTGCTCTAGCCGTGCTTTGCACCACACTGCATGTGGGAGTCTCTAGCATGTTCCTGCTTCAGCAAGGAACGTCAGTTTTCCCTCACAAACATTGGCCAAACATTGGCATTGTTGGCCACGTGCGACTGGGCTTGGCCCAAGAGTAGAAACCGAGCTTGTCTGAAAAATGGATGAGCCCTCAAAATGGGGGGGTCCCTTTGAACCAATCCAACAGGAGTCTCTTCAAAAACAGACGCTCAAACTTTGGATGTCTGGAGGGCAAAGGCAACCGTCACGATGCACTCACGCTCAAGTTCCAGCACAAGCTGGCCAGGCAAAAGAATCCCAGGGGCAACCAGGTTATACAATTGGACCATGGCACGTATACTGCCGTGGTACACGTTGCACATGCCCCTGGCGCACAGCAAGGGACCAGGTGTTTGCAGGGCATTCCCACACGTTCCAGGACTCGACAGAGGGTCCGGGCCAGTAGCGAGGACATCCCTGTGCATTTCGGAGATGGGGCACGCTGGAAAGGGGCAGGTGATGTTTACCTGCTTTGTAGTGAGGGGTGGATGTTCATGTTCTGTTTTCGTTTGGCATGGTTTGGCAGAGGGACTTTTGCCCAGCATCCTGCGAGAGTTCATGCACTTGCAAATCTGTGTTTTGAAAAAGGCGCCGAAAGAGCGCAAAAAGAGGGGTTCACTGCAAGTGAGCCGGGAAACGTGAGTGCGGACACACCGAAAGGGCGAGAGGGCACGTTGCTTAAGACGTAAAGGATTTCAGTGCCTTTAAGTCCTGCTTGCATTTGCATTATTGCCTCGAACATTGGTGCAAGCCTCGATCCTAATATTGCCGCTTCTATTTGCTGTTCATGGAAGATCTTGATGCCAGTGGATTTGTTTTCGGACTCTGCCCATTTCGACACCGTGCTTGACATGAGACGATTGGTTTGCGGAGTTTCTGAGGCTCCCTCGGCATGGGTAGCTAGCTAAGTTGGCAAGGCATTCGCTTGCCGCTAGCTTGACATATTCTTCCTGTGTTGGTGCCTCTGTGACGAGCGAGACCTGCTCGAGGATGCTGGAGGGAGAGGGGGAGAGCGGGAGAAGAGTGAGAGAGAGAGAGAGGGAGAGGGAGAGGGAGAGGGAGAGGGAGAGAGAGAGAGAGAGAGAGATATATATATATATATATAGAGAGAGAGAGAGCGAGATCTATATGCTGGCTTAGCGCATTGAGGGTTCAAGGCTGGAGGGAGCAAACACAGGCTTGGAAGCTGGTTTGACGAACAGAGGTGTAAAGGTGCTCAGAGGCGCACAGCTTAGCCACGAGTTAGGCTTGGCTTAGTGGCTGGACAGCGGCTGGAAGGAGTCTATTCCAGAGGCTCAGAGGCGCAAGCACAGAGGAGACCAGCTGGGGCGCAAACAGGAGAACAACAGTTTGCACATTTGAAGCAGAGGCTCGCGGTGCACTTGACTGACTATCAGAGCAAGCTACCGGCTCTAACTCACCGGGCTGCAGCCCAAGGAGAATTTCCTCTTCCGCAAGTTTGCCATCACCAACAAGATTTCGGATGCCTACGACCTTGGAGGCGCGCAGGGCCGCACACTACCGAGCCGACCCGGCTTGCACCAGGGATGCCTAGTGCCTGAAGGGAGTCCGCGCGAAAATTGCACAGGGTTGGAGAACAACGCCCTCAACCTTGCCGCTCACCTAGTACTAGAGGCCTGCATTTGCGCATCGGCACATGATAAAGGCATACCATGGCATACCTAGATCACTGAGGTCATCATGCCCAATGGCTGGATAGCGTTGGGAGTTGCGGTTGCGGCAATGGCCGCCTGGCACATCCTGGGCGCAGCTTGCAGTCCGCCGAGTCTACCGACACCTAGGTGGAACACTACATTTTCTCCAAGTGCATGGCCAAAGCTGCGCGCGGCAGAATGCAAAGCCTTTCCAAGAACCCGCAGATTCCGAACACGGTTATTGGTGCTACAGAAGAGGATAAAATGGAGGCATGCGCGAGTGAGTGGTTGATCCTCCGTGGCTCTGAGTTGGTTCATTCCCACTGGCCAGGTGACAACCGCGAGCTTTCACGGGAGCTGAATTGCAGGCTCGAATAGGCTCGTGGCCTTTGGCTCGTGGCCTTTGTTTAGCAAAGGTAATGGCTTTTGCCTGTGCCCTGCACGTCCTGCCGTCCCCAGGGTCAATACTCCGCACTGTCAAGCTTGCAACTGCACTGGCAAGTTTGCAGGAGGTTCTGAGCTGTCTCGAAAGAAGACAGGAAAGTGTGTGGCTTCTCTTCCGCCGGCACTTTCTGCAGTTAGTCGCTGCTTGGCTTGCTACTGTCTCACCGAGGGCTGCAGCCCAGAGATTCTGCTTTTTGCGGCTTTGGGTGGCGAAATCAAACAGGGCTGCAGGAAGGAGTTTCATTCCAGCGGCCAGCACGCCAAGCGGGGCCGAATCAAATCATCTCACAGTGACAGTGGAAAGCTGCAAAGCGGCAAAGCCTCACGTGAGCACGACATGGCACGACTAGCCGACAGGCTACCAATGGCGGTTTCAATCAGAACTGGCAGGAGGAGGTCGGCTGAAAAGTTCCCAGTGCGCAGATCCCCAGGCCCCAGTCAACTCCCCAGTCGCTGAGCCATGGGGACACAGGGCCGTGGGAAGCCCAACACCAGGATTTGAGGTTACATGTTTTATTCTTCTTGGTTGCCTCCAAGCTGTCAATTTGCTGGTTTCGTTTGGTTGCCGCGTGCACGCCAATGCGGAACTCGATTCGGTGTCCGAAATTCCGCGTCCCAGATCCAGGGTTCACGTTGGGGAGCTCGGTGTGACAGTGCAACCAGGCGGGGATTTACAAGTTTGTGGGCAGATGCTGGTTTTGGATTCCCAAGCGACAATTATTTGTTTATTTTCTGAAAGGCAGACGAGAGAGTCTGTGACACCGAAGTTTTTGCAGGTACCCACCTGGACCGAGATGTTACTATCTCGAATATGTATGTACCTGTTTATGTACATATGTATAAATAGATTCTCCCCCCGACGCCCCAATTGGACAGTTTCAGTAGTAGGCGCTCCAGACCATGAAGATCGAGTTAGACTCAAATGGGCACAAACAAAATGTTGCTTGAAATCAACAAGTCCAACTAAAGTGCAATTCCCCAATAGTGTCCGGCTATGGGGTCCGCTGGAAAGAGGTCGGTATTTTACATTGTGGAGGTGCGGGTCCGTAGATAAGGCACTGCATATATATATATATACATATGTGTGCATCGTTGCCAGAAGCAAGCTCAGACCGATCTAGATCATGAAAGCACAATTCGCACTGACTTTGCATGAGGGCGTCGTGCCCTGGCGGGAAGCCTTATGCAAGCGCGTACATGTCCGTTGCCATTCGGGCTTGGCAGCTTGTGCCGCTAAGATGCATGAGATGCACGGCACCGGACAGGCTGACCATGTCAAGGTTTGAATGGCTCACATGCTGCAAGTGCGAGGAGGCCGTGTGCTGGTCTAAGGGTGGAAGAGATGGTAGGGGTTCTCAGTTCGCCAAAGGGAGAGCAGCCTCAGACAGATTCTACGGCTAAATGTCCGTGCGAAGGCCAGTGAAAGTGGTCAGAGAGAGGAGAGCTTGAAAGCGCTGGTCCGCACCTCAGCGCTCAGAGTGCAGCTGCAGCCATTGGGCAGAGATGAGGTGCAGGACGGGGAAGAAGCCCTGGAATGGCAGTGTCCTTGCTGCATTGCTTGAAAGTTCAGCTGTTTGCGAGGTTTGGGAACAGCCTGCCCCAAAGTCCTGCCGCGCCAGTATCAAGTGCCCCCAAGGATTGTGCAAAGAGGAGTTGGCGAGGAAGAGTTCCGCGCCCTCCTGCAGCTGAGAGGGCATGTACGTGACTGTGATTCACACCCGGCCGCTCGCGCAGCATTAGCGAACCTGCCCATCGAATGCCACAAGTGCCGCTGTCAACCATCCTTTCAGCCGATGCGAAGGCCTGTGCGCATCACAAGCTCTCGCGACAGCCACAAACATTGCTGCGTTTCTTGCGCGCACGCAGCGGTGCCTTGGCTTGAGTCGAGGAAACGAGTGAGCTGCGTGGCATGGCTGACTTTTGAGTTCTTTTTATTCCCTTCTGGGTGGGGCGAAGCGGTCAGGAGACTTGCGAAAAGCCGAAGCTATGTTTCGATCCATGCTGGAATGGCGGCTGTCCTTCGGCGTCGACGATGCATGGCAGCATTTGAACATGGCCTAGCAAGTACTTCGGCTTGATCTCGGAGCGTGTCTTTTACCATCAAGGATCAGCATCATGGCACGTCCTCTTGCTTGCGTCGAGCAGTGGTCATGTTTCCATAGTTGCCTTCGAGGAGAAGGTGCGGAAATGGAGAAAAGAACTGGGGCAGCAGCGTAGTCACCGAAGCATTCAGATGAACCTTGGTCCTGGTAAGTCAAAAGACTGCATGGCTTTGGATGCCCACGGGATCGGTTTTGCCAGCCGTTGCCAAGGAAGCACTTTGAGACAGACATCGACTTGTGCCCTGACCGAGCCGGCCTCAGATAGGCGTACCGTTATGTGCATGCGCCAAGCCCTGATCAAACTGGCCCTATCAACTCAGAGCCAAGGACATGGAGTGCCAATCAGGTTGATTCGCACCAGTGCGGCAGATGTTCAAGGTTTGGTACGCGAGTTTGGCAAAGATATTGTTTTGCTCCCTGGCAGGGATATGCTCTCATTGCATTTTGCTCCCATTGATCCCAAACTTGATGTTCATGCCTTTGGCAACGGTTCAGATTCAATATTCAAGAACTGTGTCAGTGAACGAAAAGCTTGAGCATTCACGTGTCGAGCCAAGCTGTAGGAATTTGCTTCAAATTGATTTTTGCATGCAAGACCGAGAAGACGTGGGGCTCCTGCAAGCTAAGAAACAAAACCTCCCCAGCAAACCCCAAGGGCTGTTTTCCAAGCACCTTTTGGTTCCATGATTGGCTGCCGAGAATCGAGCTGACAGCCTTGTAGCGATTTCGCGTGTGCGTATGTCTGTGGCTACCATAACCAAGGACAAATACTCTGCTGCGGATGGAGCTGGCACATGAACAAATTCGACGTGCCATGTTCGAACGGGAGGATCTGGTTTGTGGGCAGCTGCAAATCATTGACATGGGAGACTATGGACGCCATGGCGTCCCCAACTTGACCAGCCGACTGTGGTCAAGTCTTAAACTGGGTGCCGAATTCTCCCAGATTACAGACTCGAATTACCCGGAACCTTGGAGCGTAGTTGTGCTGTTCTCGATTGCACGCTACGAAATGGGGGAAGTTTTGAGTCACCAGGAAGTCTCTTCAAACTGGACTCCAAGCATCCAAGGAAACTGTGCGAAAAGCGTTCATCATTCGCCTGGGCTCTTGCACCAGCACTACATGGCGATATTTTATTCAGCCTCTCTTGCCGGATCGCACGCAAGCAAAACTGGTGCCTTGTGGGCCGCAGGCCTTTGATTTCTGAATGTGATGGCTGCTTGGGAAGCAACACGTCACATGAGCTCACATGACTCCCGAGGATCTAATCCAATCCTCGCTCCCTGGAGGCTGCCTCTTGGGCCTCCCTCTCCGCTGAGCTGCCGCCAGACCGCTGGGAGCGTTTGCCGGCCTTCCTCAGAGAGGACAGCGAGGCAGCGCTGGCTGCGGCAGAGCCCCGTGGCGGTTTGGTGCCACCGGGCCTGGCAGGAGCCAACCAAGGACCGACAAAAACGGATAAGCAGAGCCTTAACTGGAGCTACGCTTTGCCGACTACTGCACTGCGTACTTCGCCGTACCTCTTTCGCATCTCGCTGCTGCCGCCGCAGGCTGGTGTAAACGTGGCACACGCAGGGATGACAGACGGACGGACGGACGGACGGACGGACGGACGGAAGAGACCGACCGCAAGCGTTGTGGCCATCCCACAGCAACAGTGCAGATTTAGCAGGCGAAAACTGCAACAACAGCCGACGACGACGACGATCACTCGAGCAGCAACAGCGACAGCAACGAAAGCAGCGGCGGCCGCCGCGGCTGGCGCCAATGGCGCAACAGCAACCGATTGACAGTCAAACAAGCACAGACCGGCCCATATGTAGGGCACGCATCAAGTTAACCGCCGGCACACAAGCTGCCTTATCCAAAGCCGCGAGTTGGAGGAGCACCCCCGTGGCGAGCACGCGCAGTCAGAATCACACAGCTGGAGAGAGCGAGCAAAACAAAAGAGCGGCCGCACAGTTTTGGGGAAGGCTCCCCGACGCAAGCACGCCCAATGAGAAAAACGCGCCATCCCAAGTCCCCCTAGCCGCGCCGTTGGAGGAGCACACCCAGGGCGAGCATGCTCAGTGAGAAAACTTCCGTTTGGGTGCAGCGGTCCCACAGGAAAGGACGCACCGAGCGCTAGCGCTCGCAATGAGAAGGACCCTTCGGGTGAGCGTGCACCGAACAGGAGGAGGGGAGCCATGGGCGAGCACGGCCAGAGCAAGCTAGTTGGGCAAGGCCGGAGGAGGAGGAGGAGGAGGAGGAGGAGGAGGAGGAAAAACACACACAGACATCGTCGAAGCAGGGCACAGGCGGCAGCAGTGATCATGAAACTCCAGCAATCAAAGAACTTAGCAAGGAACCGGCCAGGAGTGTGGGTTGAACACGAACGTCCGGCCCGACACACAGCGAGGGGACGCGGACGGATGGATCTTGCGACACCCAACTTTGCCGTTTGAAGCACTGCAGTCTGACCTTCTCGTTCCAAAGGCCTTTCAGCAAGAAGAACGCACAATTTCGAGCGGGGCCAAACTGGGTTGCATACGGCACTTGTACCGCAAAGTCACACCATTTCAAGCCGGAGCTGCGAAGTGTGCGTCCACGTTTGCTGCACTTAAGTTGCGATTCCCGAGCTGCCAAAGTGGACTTCACATTCCGAACTTGTTCGGAAGGGCCGCGATCTCGAGCTGGAGATGCCAAATTGCACCTGGAATAGCGCACCTAAAGCGTGCGTGAATGAGCACCAGCTGCCTGCTGCACTTCGTATGGGACGGTTACGCTGACAAGTTGCGCGTTTTGAGCTGGAGCTGCCAGAGTCCACCTCACATACCGCACGTGTATTGAAAAGTTGCCAGGGCAAGAGTTGTGGTGGCTGGTTGCCACCGAAGTGTTCTACAGTCCCTGCACAACAAGATTGAAAAAGAGACAGCGGTTTTGCGGGACAACTGCTTGGCCGTGTTGTTATCAGCCCCCTTGGGTGGAAGCATCACGCCTCACTGCTTGTTGCGGAAAGGGGCCAGGCGCGCAAGGCTAGTACGTAATCGCAGTTTGCCCGTTTTTTCTTGGGCATCGGGCGGGCCATCACTGATCATTGTGCAGGTGTTGTTAGGTCCAGGTCCTGCTTCGCGTAGGACAATGGGAGTTGGAGCCTTGCAAGAAGCGACGGCCTTCCCATTCCCGACTCAGCCTGAATCTGGACTCCAAGCCCTTTGGCAACACGTGCCATGGCAGAGTGCAGCTGGTCTTTGGGTCCTTCTGGAAAAAGTCTCTCAGACGGATTGTCATTGGGAAAGGACCACCAATGCTGAGACTTGCAACACATGGCGTGTGTTCTTTGCATTCCCACGGTAAGGTGCGCTCGGATGCAGGTGTTAATTTTTGGCGCCGTTGCTCTAGCTGCAGGGGCTTTGGAATCTCAGCTGCAGATGCTGCAAGCCTGCGAGCATATCATGAGGCAAAGGTTGGCACAAGCATGAGAGGCACTGCAAGAAATCAAGCGACACGGCCCTCCGTTCATTTGCCAAGATGTAAGCACGACCAAGGCAGTTGAACCTGTTGGTTTGCTGTGACATCAGCTTTCAGCCGTTGCTGCTCACTGCAGCCTATGGCCTAGTTTCTTTGCATGCTCAGGGCGGTTATACTGCCAGCGTTCCCCGGGTCCCCTCCTCCAGGGGTAATTCAGCCAATGCAAGTTTTGTGTACGCCAATGAGCTCTACAAGGTTGTCAAGTGCAACCCCTGTAATTCAGGAGCCTAGTTTTCAGGGCACCTTGCAATTACGCTGCGCCTGTGGGGAGAGAGCCTGCATTGGGCCGAAGCAGCCCAGATTTTCGCCAGCTTTTGCCACTTTGATCTGTGACCGGGACACGGATGACTAAGTTGGCGGCATGATGCAAGGACAACGGCAAGGGAGACTTGCCAAAAGGAGCCTCTACCTCGGACAGTTTTGTTTGGACAATGCTCCATGCGCCACGCGAATGTCCAACCGCCTGTGCCTGAGCGCAGACAAAATCAGAAGATCAGAGCTGCGTTTGCGTATCGTCACGGCCAAGCACAAGTCTACATTTCAACATTTGGAACTCACTTGTCCCTCCAAGCCATGAAGGCAATGGTATACATATATATATATATACACATACCTCTATATATATCTCTCTCAACGCCAATGCAGAGGCTTGACCTGTGAGGACACATGTGCCAGAAGCAATCACATTCATGTAAGCAGCCATGGGCAGCCGCGCTGCTCACAACTGGCGAAGGAGGAGCCGGTTGCCAGTCCATTTGCGTGGTAATTGCGCCTTGAACACTCATCGCGCCGACGCGAGGCAAAAGCTACTGGAAAAGTCACGGCCTCGGTTCACGGAGCATGCTGGACCTGGTCATCATGGGCAGAGCCAGGCATGGCCAGAGCGAAAAAGGCGCTGGCAAAGGCAAAAGCAAAAGAGGCCCAGTGGGCAAAGTGTGACACTTTGTAGGGGGGATCAGCTGCTCGCGTTGTGGCGCATTAGAGCAAGATGTGTGACGCCCAATCGAGCTTGCCCGCTGCGGCACCTCACTCTAGCCGTACTCGGTGAATACACGCTGAGCAGTCAAACAGGAACCTCTCAGAAGCGGTGGGTTTCCTGGGGATGTTGCAAGCGTTGACGGCTTCCAATCCGAATCAGTATGCCACCAACGCCTTGCAATGGCTGCTATGAAAATATCGTGTGCAACGACGGGCCCAACCGGGCATTGCGCTGGCAACCTGGGACACGTCCAAGGACATGCCCATCATCCCTGCAGGTGGCTTGGACTTTGGTTGGTAGTGTATCGGGTCTGCACTTGTGATGGTGGAGGTGTTTTCGGAAGAGCTTGCCAGCGCATACTTACATGCGCTGCTGGCATGCAGAAGTAGGCTGGGCTGGCATTCTAGCGGCTTATCATTGAGTGGGGGCTTTGACAACGAACATGCGATGTGTGCACACCTTCGCACAGAGCTCGGATGGGGACTGTGCACGCGCACAAGCAGCGAAGCATGTCGCTCACACAACACATGCACTGTGCAATGCTATTTGTGTTTAGGGCATTTGATCGATTAGTCTGAGCAGAACAGCCCACAGCTAAAGCTGTGCCGATAAAAGCACACATGGCTGGACTTCGGTGGTCATGTTTCTTGTGCGTTGGGATGCGTTGGGAGCATCAGCCCGGCCTCCTACGAGAGAAGCCCGGGATTTCCAGGTTGCCTGCTCAAAGCTGTTTCGGGTGCTGAGACACGTGAAGAAACACGCATTGAAGTTGGTGCTAATCACTCACGTCAGTACAGCTTCCTTGGACAACACACTTTGACAGCTGAAGCTCGCAGTGAGGCCCAGCCTCAGCCTCAAAGCCTCCAGGTTTTGCCAGGGGCACGAGCTGTGGTGGTGGCCCATTGCCGCTTCTGGGTTGCAGACCAGTCACGCGTTCCCATGCTTAGACGTCCCGTGAAATGCAATAGAACTTTGCAATAGACTGCCCCCCGTAAAGGGTCAGAACGCAGCGAGAATGCCTGAAGCAAGGCAGTTGCTGTGGCCCGGCAAGCGCTGGACTGGGAGGAGATGGCCATGCGCGACGCAGAAGCACTTTTATGATGTTGATTCCCATTTGTGAACGCAAATATTGTGAAGTGGCGGTCATCTGAGATGAGCAAGGAGGAAGGCATTGATGCGTTCAGTCCGCTACAGGTACAGAGGCATCAATGAAGCGCATATGCAGCTACGATCCTGCGGCGCATGAAGTCCAAGCTGTGCAAGATGAGCTTGGCAGGCTTGCAAAACAAGAGGACCCTGTGCGAAACCTCTGCAGCTGACACGTGCCTCACAGCAAAGCGCACTTAATGACAGTGCAGGACTCCGAGGAAGGAGCCACTGCGCGTGCCCAGATGGACGCGCAGCATGCCAAGGTGACTTGGTACGAGCAGCTCTTTCAGGACAGAACGGGGCACAGCCTGAATCATTGAATGAGCAGGGCTGGTAGCTTCATGCAAACGGCTCGAACACAGCCTTCGGCTTGCGCAAGGAAACTCGCAGCGCAAGACTCCGAGGAGTTCCTGAGCCTGACGTGGAGACTCTGCGTGTACTAAAGGCATAGGGGACTGGTCGCACTACTTGGCTATCTTGACTTCAGGCTCATGGCTCATGGATAGGGCAGTGAGCAAAGTTTGCAAAAATGGGTAACGAGGATTGGAACCTCATGGCAGACCGCATCAACAAGCGCTTCAAGTACAAGCCCGGGAGGGGTGCATTCATTCCAAAGCAGTACACCTCCTATGAGGACTGGTTCCTACGCAAGCTGGATTCGGAGATGCATGACGCGTGCTTGGCCCGTGCAAAGCTGGCTAGTATTTGCGCACCAGCGCAGGGCAAGATGTACCCCCAGGCTAGCAGGGTGGGGCGATGTCCAAGCTTTCAACAGGCAGCAGCTTCATATGAGTCACCGTCAAAACTCGGGCAAGATGAAGGGGTCCCAACCAAAAATCGGTGCGTCGCCCTTACAATTCCCCACATTCTTGTGCGGGGTCGTACTTGTAATGTCGGTGTCCGCGCCGATCTCCTTTGCATCCCTCCCTCCTCCTCCTTCCAGCTTTCTCCTCCTTCCACCTCCTGCCTCCTCCTGCCTCCTCCTGCCTCCTCCTGCCTCCTCCTTCCTCCTCCTTCCTCCTCCTTCCTCCTCCTTCCTCCTCCTTCCTCCTCCTTCCTCCTCCTTCCTCCTCCTTCCTCCTCGTTCCTCCTCCCTCCTCCTTACTCCTCCTTCATCATGCTTCCTCCTCCTTCCTTCCTCCTCGTCCTCCTTCTCCGTACTCTTACTCACTCAACTTACACTCAGTCAGCTTACACCGCCTTCCCTCTCACTCCACTTACACATGCTTACTGTTGCTCACTCAACTTACGCTCAAAAACTTGCACATACTTGTTCTCGCTCGCTGCACCTGCAGCCACTAACTTACGCGTACTTTGTGTCAGTGCGCACACATACTCTCTTACTACTACACTGCGAGCGCGGTACAAGAAATCGGTCGGTGATGCCCAGGGGGGCTGAATTTCGTAGTGTCCATTTCGTCTTCAAAAGGGCGGTGGTTTACCCCTCTGAAGCCTGTTTTGACCATCAGGGAAGCGCGCTCGCTGCTCAATTTCAACCTCTAAAATGCTTGGCAAAAGACAGCTGCGAGCGCTGGGGATTGAACCAATGAATAATGGGTTCAGGGTGGGGTTACCACTCTGCCAACTCAACCTGCTAGTCTGTGGCTGCACCAGGGTCCCGTAAGAAATTGAGCCCCTGAGTTTCATAGCAGGGAGTCCTTCATCCCCCAAAAAGTTATTTAATTATTTGCATGGTTTTGGGCAAGCTATTTCAATACCAACTTTTGATCATGACCCATGTGGCTTATTTCCCGCCAGAGCATTGCTGCCAGGTATTGAGTGGGCAGATGACGTTAAAGATCTCTGTGATAGCCGTGGAAGAGCTGTTGGGAATTCTGCACAGCGAGCAGTTGTTGCAGATTGGGCTGCGATGGCCAGCAGCAGCCTCAGATCTGAAATTGGTTTCTTGCCGCTGGTTGGCACCACTTGAGCAGCGCCCAACAACCTCCATTGCTATTTTAGTAGGTTGTTCTCCTACCTGGTCCAATGAGGAGTGTAGCTCCTGTGCAATATGTTAGTGGAACCACAAGTCAACAGGCTTGGGGGCACCGCTCATTTCTGGAATCCAGAAGAGTATGCAATCAGGACTATCACCGACTGCACAGTCCCGTCGACGGCGACATAACTGGCATAGATGTTTACCAGAAAGATCAACTGTTTGCTGGAGCGGCAGCGTGTCGCAATTTAGACCATGGGACCGGCACAAAGTGCAAATTGTTGCGAACATCTAGAACCACTGCTGCGCGCAACGACTGCACTTGCACGAAGTGGCAAGCCGAGGAATCCATGACAATTATGTCCATCATCACCGAGTTTGGCATGATTCGGCTACTTTGTATCGGGGAGTGGTCTGTGCAGACCTTTGTGACACATGTCGTGGTCGGGCAGCGGGTGCGCAAGATGGATGAGCTGGGCTACTTTGACTTGGGTTCACAAGTCATTCTCGCTTTGCCCTCATCCGCCAACATGTTGGTGAAGGGAGGCTCCAAGCTGTTTGTAGGCGATCCAGTCGCGATCTGCCAGAGCAGGTTGGCGCAGGGGGAAAAATGGGCGGTTGAAATTGATGGGTCTAATGTTGCTCCTGCTACACTGCAGCGCCAACTGTGTCCTCCTGCTTTGTGGCACTGCAATCCGCAGAGGAGGTGAGTTTGCGGAAGGTATCCAGTCCTGTCCGTTGTTAGTTTTGCTACCAAAAACCTTGGGAGTTGCAGGTTGATTTAGGCGTGATGGCAAACGTTCAGCTTGTGCGCGATGCTGCACAAACTGCCTGCGCAGCATTTGCATAGAAGAAGCCCCGCTGGTCGGCACACAGGCTCCCAAGAAGTGAAGAAGCCCGCCAAAAAGAAGGTTGTCCGAGAGAAGGCAGACCGCGGCAAGACGAGGTGCGCAGAAGCGAGAACTACCAAGCTAGGGGGATCTCGCCCAACACGAAGCGCCATGTTGATGCGTGTAGGCTTGAAGTTGTGACTCAAGTGCCCAAATTTCCCAAAGCAACAGAGCCACTACGCCCTACTAGTCTCATGCGACCATGTTACCAGGCCTAAAAAAGACGCAAAGGTGAAACAGCCGCTGCCTTGAAGCAGAGCCGCAAAGTGTCGAGTCGCGCTTTTGCTCAGGCCTGTGAGTGGAGACGACAAGGCCGAGGGTGATGCTTTGAGCGGCCTCACTGCTTGCTTGATTCCTGTGCATGACATGGCATCACGCGCAGCGACGGCCCATAGCCAGGTGCCTGCAAAGCGGAAGGCGGGGCCTTGACACAGATCTGAATCGCCCACAGTTCCGCTGCAAAAATATGTCACATGCATTGGGTTGTTGTTAAAATACAGATTTTACACAAATCCTATTCAGATGACTATCCCTGTTTCAGGTGAAGAAAGTGCTGGGCAAGAAGCTGAAGCTCCTTGACTGACCGATTGGATCAATGCTGCGGAGTTGGGCATATTTTGGCATCAGGTCCAGCAAGTCAGCAAAAGGAGAGGCTGCAGGTGCATGCTGGTTTGGGGGAGTGTACCATGAGTTACTTCAATGATGCTGGTTTGACAAGTGTGGATGCAGTGCCACGCAGCGAGTCATACAGGCTCAAGGCTGTGCAAATTGGCCCGACCTTCATGCATGGTACGGGCTTCGCTCGGGTGCTGAAGACCTGGCTAGGCAGTGTGTTCTTTGCAAGCGCCGTGACTCAGGACCCGCAGGCGGGATGAGTCAAATCGAAGTTTCCCTCGATACAGATCCGCCACGTTTTGGCTAGGCTGTGTCTACCCGAGGTGAGGTTCATTGACGCTGACGAGTGTGCGGCCGCCGCTTGCTGCACCGCTTTTGTGCATTGGGAGGCAGGGCGTGTGGTCAAAAGAGGCAAAGACAAGAGGCTGATATGGCCACGGCCAGGAGGTTCTTTTGCTTGGGTTGCTTGAGTTCTGCCTCAGGATGGCTCAGCATGGCCAGCTTCGGATTCTTGGTTCTTTGCCTATGCGGGCACGGAGTCTGCCGTGACCGATGTCGTGCCTCCACACATGATCAAGCAGAATGCCTCAGCAATTCTGCGCGGCTGGTGCATGAGTTGGCGAGTCAATAGCAACGGCTTGGCCGAGTCCTTCTTGCAAAAAGCAGCCAGAAAAACATGTGCTGGTGGATCAGCGTACTTGTTAACCTCCGAGGGTGAAAGGCGCTACAGGGACTTTTGGCTGGGCCCCAACCCCTTGGCCAGCCCTATGGCCGTCTCAGCGACCATGAGGTCTGGTCAGCTTCTAGATGCTACCCTGCTGGTGCCAAGCCTGCCAATTCGCCAGGAAGAAGGTCACCACAGTCACCAATACTTTGAGGGAATCTGGTTTGACGCGTGCGAGGACCAGGACATGGATGTGTCGGCGAATAGCTGGCCGTCGTGAGCATTTGTTCCCTGTCAAAGCTGCAGAACAACTCCAGCGTTCACGGCAGTGTGTTGGTTGGGCAAGCTGCCCCCGAATTTAAAGCTCCGAGCTCCTGGAAAAAGACAGAAGCGGAGGAGTGCAAAACATGGCACGCGGACCCGAATAGACATTGAACTTGTGAGGCAAGGGCAGCAAGCGCCTTCGCAAGGCTTTGGGCTGCCAATTGAACCAGCAAGCGCGCTGCCACCTCGTTTCCAAGCAACAAGGAACGCGTTGTTCCGAATCATGAAAGGTTTCATTCTGCGATCAGCTGCGCCAGAAAGTTGCACCATGGTGCACCCAATGCCTACAGATGCAGATGTTGGAACGCAGGCGTTGAAGCCAATGCCACAGACCGTCCAAGTCTCATACAAAAGTGCATCAATGTCCGAGCGTGCGCTTGTGCTTGAATACCGTTGGAAGGCTCGCATTCTGTGCCCGGGCAGCCTGACAGAACGCTTCGTTGCTTGCCTCCTGGCAGATGAAATTTCCCGGGGGCTCAACCTTGGGGTACTTACGGATAAGCGCAGAGAGAGCCTTCACCTTTCTCCTTCGATGGTGCAGGTGGGCAATCTTCATCGCACAGCGCCCTGCCAAAGTCCCAATGCGTGCACCTCGCGTTTTGCGGGCAGCTTGGACCCGCTGCAAACTCAGGACGGCGTATGAGCGCAGCCTGTTAGCTTCTGGTCCGTTGAGCTCCCAGGCTGCAAGCACGCTGAGGTGATTTGTGACACGTTGCCCATGTTGGGCTGTTTTTCAGTAAATGGACTGCCACCTTTGGAAACAAAGGAAGGCAGGTTCCGATCCAAATCCAAGAGCACATTTGTCATGGCAGGCACCCAGAGCAGTGGAATTTGACTCACCAATCGCAATGCAAGGCAAGCAGTAGCTAAGGGTGCAATCTGCAAAACACAGGGTTTGGACACGACCTGAAAGATGTACAATCACGCGCACTCAAACGCAAATGCAGGTCACGCACGGACGTTTATGCACCAACCGGCACGCACACACACACACACACACACACACACACACACACACACACACACACACACACACACACACACACACACACACACACACACACACACACACACACACACACACACACGCGCACGCACACGCACACGCACACGCACACGCACACGCACACGCACACGCACACGCACACGCACACGCACACGCACACGCACACGCACCCACACACACCCACCCACCCACCCACCCAACCACGCACGCACGCACGCACGCACGCACGCACCCACGCACCCACACACACACACACACACACGCACACACACGCACACACGCACACACGCACACACACACACACACACACACACACACACACACACACACACACACACACACACACACACACACACACACACACACACACACACACACACACACACACACACACACACACACACACACACACACACACACACACACACACACACACACACACACACACACACACACACACACACACACACACACACACACACACACACACACACACACACACACACACACACACACACACACACACACACACACACACACACACACACACACACACACACACACACACACACACACACACACACACACACACACACACACACACTCACACTCACACGCACACGCACACGCACACGCACACCCACGCACGCGCACGCGAACGCGCACGCGCACGCACACCCACACGCACACCCACACACACACACACACACTCAAACTCCAGATGGAGGGTGCTAATCTTTCGAGTACAACTGATGAGTCTCGAGTACAACTGATGAGTCTCGAGTGGGTGTGGATTCTGCTCGCGATGCACTCGGCTTCCCTCTAGCAGCGAACACGTTACCCGAAAGAACAAGAAGCACAAACAGCGCCGCAACCAAGGGGGCCAAAAGGACTTTGCATCACACGAAATGCACAGGTACGTCGAGGTGATCAGCCTCGATATCACAGGACAAGTGCGGCGTCTTCGTTGGATGCCGACCGCACAGGTCCCCAGCATCCCCCTGTGGTAAAGGTGAAAGCTTGATGTTGGTGACAGGGTATTCTGTCACTCCGCACACACACGCCCCTCAGTGAGGGGCGAGAAGTCTCTTTTTCTGCAGGAAGATCACATGCTCAACTTCGTATCTCTATCGTTTGCCAAAATATCCACCGCGGCGAGGAGAACGCGAAACTGCCCTAAGCCGCTCAGAAGACGGGAACGAAAGATCACCACGATGAGCATTACGGGTGTCGCCATAGAAGACTGGAGGGAGTTGCAAAGCAGTCGAGCGATCACCGTCAGAAATAGGGGGAGCATAGGTGAACATTTCCTCGACTCGGATTGTGTCCGAATTCTGCACGTCAACAAGTGATTGATCACGGGCATGATGTGTGGAGAAGGACTCCGAATGGTCCACGCCTGACTATGTTCACCAGTCCCACCAATGGGATCAGTTACCCGCTTCCACTCCCGAAACAAGTTGTCTGGTAGGTCAGGTACGGTTTCTCCTGGTTGAGGTTGTCCCGGAGTATAGATCCGCACCCACTCCTGATCCTGCCAGACCGAATATTCGAGCCACGGGTACTGCTTTGCATCCTCGATGTCCATGCCGAAGTGAGAGACAGGACGTACCGCGGGTTCAGATCCAGCTAGCAAAGAAACAGTCACCATGCACAACCATGCACAATCAGCAACCACGCAAGAAAGCACGAGCATGAGAAGCACCCTTTTGTGCCATGCCCAACACGCATCAGTCTATTCATCATTTAGCTCGAAGATAGGCTTCTCCTTGGCGGTGGAGCTGCATGATTGGGTCGTAGGCAGATATGCATCAGAGACCCCAATAGACTCTGGCGGTGCAGCTCCACAAGATGCACGTACTGGTTGGTGTTGTTGGGATGCATGACGCGCGCGATCCGACAGTTGCTGAGAGATCCCATCTTGAAGACGAGTGAGATCCTCAGTGGAGAAAGCCGCCGCATCCGATGATCTAAGAATCGCATTCAACATTTGCGGTGACACACACAAAGCCGAGGATTGCGTGGCCACGCTATGTTGATCAGGAAAAGACATCGAAGCGAAGTCGTGACCAGCTTGAGGGGCAGCGACTCGCCGGTAGCCCTCTGTGCACCTTCTTGATCAGGATTTGGGACATAGAACTCCTTCCACTCTCTGTATGTATGAGGCGGAGGCGGAGCATCATGTTCGTCCTGTGGAGTCCATGATCCCGGGTGAAAAATCTTGACCCACTGGGCATCTGGCTGTTGAGGATCCGGACACCACTCCAGCCACGGCATGACAACTCAAACCCTTGATGACAAATTGAGAGGTGTACGGCTGCAGACTACTAGTACTACATGTGACACAACAGCAAACACGCAAGCAAACACTTTTGTAGCAAGGCGCGGCTCAGGTGTCGAAGTCACTCACCCCAATCAAATTGAATTGAATATCCTGGAAAGACGAGGACGAACATCAGCCACCATCCGAGTTCGAGGATGCCGACGAAGAGGACAGTCCAGCGTACATGAGGTCTGGTGATCCCGAAGCGAAAACTGGACGTGCAATGTTGGGGCGCGGATGACCGAGCCGTTGATATCCTCTGGTGACCCAGTCACGATACTGCCATGTATAAAAGGACGCATATGAGACCGGCTGGGAAACAGAGCCCATATTGGTGCCGCCCGTGCTGTCACTAGGCCAACACGTCGAAGTGGTAGAATTTGCGCCATTCCCGATAGGTGGTTGTGTCCTCCGGGGCCGGTCCCAAGGTGGATTCGGCGACTGGTTGCCACGGACCAGGTACATAGACCCGAATCCATTCAACGCTCGTGCTCGCAGGGCCATTGACGATGTCGTACTCAAAGTAGCGTGGTAGGGTCCATCTTGCAGTGCCACATATTGTAGAATTGAACATACCAACCAGGGAAGCCGCTTTGAGGCAAAAGGAAGCGGCGAAAACATGGAGACGGAAAGCACAACACAAGTCAAGACAACCCAAGTTGACGCAGCAATCAAATCAGGCACAATCGCATCATTTTAACCGACATGTTGCTCAAGTATCAATCCGATTCGTTCCAAGGATCATAGAATGGTGGGGGAGAAGGTCCAAGACTCCGACGAGGAAGTAACTTCTTCATTCACGAGCTCCGCCGATCCAATGGCTGGTAGTGGAATGCCAAGGCGCTGATAACCTCGTGTTTCCCAGTCTCGGTACTCCCACACGTGGTATGATACATACGAAATGGGCATGACATTGGGGTCGGCAGCTGTTCCTCCAGTGCTGTCTGCGGGCAAGTACACGTCAAAGTGATATGACTTGCGCCACTCCCGATACGGGGAAGCGTAGTCTGGGGCACGTCCCAGAGTAGCTGTGGCCACAGGTTGCCACGGGCCCGGTGTGTAAATTCGAATCCACTCAAAATAGTGCGGGTACATAACAGCAAAATGGGTCGTCACAGGGCCGCTGAAAGAAATCGCAAAGCCACTGAATCTGCGGCGAAACACTCATGCCATGACAACCCTGACGCAATGAGAATGTGTTGAACAACGCAATGCAAGGCAACTTTTCAAACTGAAGGCGGGACGAATCCACAAGGTCTATAGTATACGACACCTATGCTTCACCGCCGCTGATGCCGCACACACCTGCAATGGTAATGTCCTGGTCGGCGACGAGCACAGGGAGAAAGACACTTCCGTCCATGATGTAGAAAGGCATGACAGTAATGCTTGCAACTTGTCAATGGGGACAGCGATGGACGGGTGGCTCGTTTTGAAGGGAACACGGTGAAGGGTCGCCGAGATCTCCGCAGGGCAGAAGCGGATGCTGTTCGAGAGCGTTTCGGAGAACGCGTGAGACTGCGTAGATCATCATCACGGAACTGGTCAGCGCTGCATATCGAGCGGCGTGTGCGCTGCGATTTCACGGTGGCAGGGCAGGACTGTCCTCGAGGAGAGGGGCTCGAGG